AAAAAAAATAATTACAAACCTAGAATTCTCTAACCAGCAAAAATAGGGGGCAATGAAACAATAATATGATAATACTCAATTACTCCAAAATAGGCAAAAAATGAGTGAAGCACATATAACTGGCAGGACAAGTAGAAAACAAAATAGTAAGATAAGAGATTTAAAGGCAAATACATCAGCAGCTACATTAAATGTAAATGGATTAAACACACCAGTTAAAAGATGAAGTTTTATTTGTGTGTGTATGTGTGTGTGTGTACATGCATATGAATAAACCATATGCCACTTTCAAGAGACACATTAATGAAAACTTACTTTGAGAAAAAAAATAACTGCAAAATAAATAAAAGTGGAAATGTAAAAGGAGGAAGATTACTGCCCATCCAAGGGGAAGGTCAGGAAGGTCAGGGAAGAGTTACTTCATGGGTGGAGTTGGCATTTGACAGTGATAATAAATCATATCCCTCTACTTTAAATACAGAAATAAAAGAAAAATCCATACAGGAGTCAAAAAGATGGGGATCAAAATATGAGCATTATAACTAATAGAGCTGACTTTGAAAATAGAGCTTGTCCTGCAGTCACAATTTGCCCTCTTACTTATCAAACTTTCCTTCCAAGTCTAGAACTTGGACTATCCCACCTGACAGGGAGTCTGCACAGATGACATGAATCCAGCCAGGTATAAGGAGAACCTCTTCACATCCCTAGAGCCCTTAGAGTAGAGGCTCAGAGAGTGATACCTCCAGACATTTGTCTAGAGACGGTTCTCAGCTTCAAATGCATGTTAGAGTCACCTGGGAAGCTTTAAATACTGCCAATGCCCAGGACACACACCAGACTACTGGAAAAGGATCTCCAAAGGCAGGATCCAGGTATTGTCGTTTTTCTTTAAGCTCCTCAAGTGATTCCAATGTTTCTCTCAGGTTGAAAACCACCATGTAAGGCAGACCTGGGCCCCTTTTAAAGTGTGTCTACTATAAGAATGGTGACACAGGCACAGAAGAGAGGACATACACCTTCCAAACAGCATGAACCCAAAAGAAGAAACAAAATGTCTCATCCATACACATCAGTTTTTTTCCCTAATCTCTCCAATTAGATAATGCCTTCCTTTACCCTTGGGGAGAAATAAATAGAGGAACTATTGAAAGGGTGGAATTATCATCCCAATTCTGTTCTCTTCTCAGAAATGGAGTCGAAGCATTTGCCTTTGTGGTTGATATGGCTTTCAAGTTTGAATTTAATAGATGGATAAGTTTGCACATTAAAAAAAAAAAAATTGGAGGAACAGGGATAGAGGAACATTTCGAAGCAAGGATTTTTCCCTCTCAATGATCTTTTAGTGATCTTCGAAGCAATGAGAGAATGATTTTTAACAGTCCCAAGTGGAAAGTAAATGAAATGCCTAAACTCTATGTTGGCTGAAATATGCCATCTTCTCCTAGCTCAGGACCTTTACACACACTGTTCGTATGCTGTTCCTATACTCTCTTACCCACCCCTCACCCAGTTAATAATTACTCATCCTTTAGATCTCAGGCTCTCAGCACTTTCTCTGATCCATGGACAAATTAAATTCCCCTGCCATATGCTCTCATGAGATCTAGAGCATATGTAATTATATATTTGTGATATGTCTGATTCTTCCAATAAACTATGAATTTCCAAGGACAGGAACCAGATCTGTTTTATTCTTTATTTTATTCCAGGATCCAGTCACAGTTGTTAAATATCTTTGAATAAGAGTCCAGGTCATTCATAGGCTACATAAAGCCTTAAAGTTGCAGATAAGGAAAGAATTTTTTAAAAAAGAGGGAGAGAGAGAGAAAATGATGCCTTCATTAGAACTGGGAGTACTGGAGAGATTGAAAATGAAAATCAAATAAGGCTGCCAATCTTTGTGCAGGAATCAGTTGCCCATTTTCATCCAACACAATCAACCATAGCATAAGTATACCCACTGGTCAAGAAACTTGTATAAGACAATATAATTCTGAAAACTAGGCCTCAAAAAAGCCTCTTTGACCTTCTGCACTCATCCAGAGAACATGCTGGGCCAACTGAGGGGGTAAAAAATAAAGACGACCAGAAGATTCTTCCTACTCCAATGGCCAAAGCATAATAACTAATACCTATTCCAAATAATAATCTTTCCGGGTAACAGTCTGGAGCATGACAGTAACTAACCATCAGGTTAACTATCTTATCTCAAAGGAGGAAAAAATGGTTAATGTGACATCATATAAACACAGGGCACCAAACTCTGGCCAAGGTTCCCTCCAACAACTGGTCAGTAGCACGGCACTGAGTTGTCTGCTTGGAAAAACTGTCTCCACCTGGGCTGCCAAACCAATAAGCCAAATACCGGGACAGAAACAAGCGCCTGAATCTTGGAAAATATTTATGAAAATGAAAAAGGTGAACAAATAAAGTCAGTGGTAGAAAAACAATACGCAACTCACTTCCTTGTTGTCCCAAGCAAATCTGTTGCTTAAACAATAACAACAGAATCTAATCAGTAAACCCCTCAGCTGCCAAAATTATACAAGCAACTTGCCTGTCTAAAATGTCACGTTTCCAATCTGATATAAATATTCGCCTTCTGCTCCCATTCCTTAAGTGTAATACAAATCAGACGCAATCTAAAATTCACCCTGGCACAACTATTTCTTTTTTCTTTCCTTTCAAATGACCCAGATTGTGCATTATGAAAATTGTGAAGCTTGGTGGTCTTTTTGGTAATTGGAATAGATCACTGAAGCCTAGGTTGCTTTTTAGCTTTGGCTTTTCACATTATTTTACACCTGGGAAGGTCCTGACTAGCTCATCCAAGTCCACTGAGACTTGGTTCAGCCTCAGTAAGCTTTTATACACACAAATGTAAAACTACGTGTTATCTCATTTCCAGAAAAATCATACTAGTGAGACATTTCTTTGTAATTTTTTAAACAACAGAAACTTAAAAGATGGCTAAAGAGGGACTTCCCTGGTGGTACAGTGGTTGAGAATCCACCTGCCAATGCAGAGGACACAGGTTTGATCCCTGGTCAGGGAAGATCCCCCATGCTGCAGAGCAGCTAAGCCTGTGTGCCACAACTACTGAGCCTGCGCTCTAGAGCCCATGAGCTACAACTACTGAGCCTGCACTCTAGAGCCCATGAGCTACAACTACTGAGCCTGCCCGCCGCAACTACTGAAGCCTGTGTGCTCTTGGGCCTGGGTGCCACAACTACTGAGCCTGCGTGCTGCAACTACTGGAGCCTGCACACCTAGAGCCCGTGCTGCACAACAAGGGAAGCCACCACAATGAGAAGCACATGCACCACAGAGAAGAGTAGCCCCCGCGCACCTCAACTAAAGACCCAACGCAGCCAAAAAAAAAAAAAAAAAAGTTTAAAGAAAACAATGTGAAAATAATGGAAAAGGTAAGAAGACTAATTTAAAATATTGATACAACCAAAATCAAATTTGCTGGCTATGCAGGATTATGTCAGTATACAGACCTTCTCATTACCAGTAGAAAGCAAGAAGTTTAAACCATCACAAAAATGTTCAACCTGTGCACTTCTGTGCCCTCCTATGAAATTAATTTTATGTTGCAAAGGTATACATGCAGACTCCAAGTATCATCCACAGATGAACTATATCAGAATCCCCTAGGGGTAGTGGTTAAAGATGCAGATCACTAGATGCCACAAAAGACCTTCTGAATTAGACTCTTTCTTAGGAACAGGACCCAGGAATCTGTTCCCTTTCCCCAAATCACCCAGAACCCAGAAACAGTGTGCTTGCTCCACAAATTTGGCTTCCTCATAAATCCTCAGCAATCCCTTCTAATCCAATCAGAGCCTCTAAACTGCTCTAATAAAGAAATTCAGAGCTGCCTAAGGCATTAAAGTTAAGAGAACCTCTGTGATTCTGTTAGATCTCCCATCTCCCTTGAACCAAGCAAGTACGGAAAAAAATCTGGGAAGTCTACTGGTTAATAGAGTGCTTGAGTAACAGTGCCTTCGATAGAGTAGTGTGATGTTTGGAAGCAGAATAGAAATGTTAATTGCTTCCAATTACCAAAGCCTCTCAAATTCAGGCAGAGAAGCCAAAGCAGAGGCTTATACAGTCAGTTTACAGACAGTGGCCATCCCCCAACCAACTAGACCCTGCACTTTAACTCCTGTGTGATTATAAAGAAGCCCCCTTCCCCAACAATAATGACCATAGTCGCTGTTTATGACCACCTAAGGACTGTAAACAACAATCAAACACCAACAACCAAAACCCCATGGAAACTGCCCCTTCCCTAACATTCAACCAGTTTTGAGATATTCTTACATATTAAATTAGGAATGAGTTTTCAAAACAAGTAACTCAAATTTTGAACATATTTCAAAGCCCCTTTGAGCAACAAAGGATACCTAGGCTTACACAGAAACGTTAACCAAGAAAGGAAAAGGCCTCATCTACGTAAACCTCAGAGAAAGCCCCAGAAAAAACATTCACACTATATCTTTAGTTTTAATTGTTTGGTTTACATATTAATAAATATTTATAAAAGTAAAGATTTTGATTTTATTTTTTTGTTTATTTTATGATCAATTCTCATAATTTTTATGATTCTTATGATCAACTGATATTTTAAGTAGCACTCCAAAATAATCTCAGTTTACATCATGGTGCTTCTAAGAAATAAGGGTTTGACTTAAATGACTCTGAGACAATTATCCAAAAATCAATCACATGGTAAATGGGGGTGGGGGGGGTGGGAGGAAGAACACCTTTCCTTCATTTAAGACCAAAGACATTACAACCTTCAACAAGTTTTGTATGACCTTTCAGCTGAAATCTTTATTATCAAAAAAGAGACTGCAGGACTCCAGTTTTTCCTATCTCAGGGAAAGCAGAGGTAAGGATTGTCCCCAAAAAAAGAAAAGAAAAGCTGTCTAAAGTCTTATTTGTAGAGAAAGAGGTCAAGCAGTGTAGAAAGGAAACAAAAAGCATACTCTTACTCATTTGGGGCTTAATCTCTTCATCCAAGTCCAAATCTTCTAAATCAAGGAAGTTGTCTACCTAGAAAAGGATTAACATCATCTTTATGCAAATTAGACCTAGAGAAAAATATGCAATTAAGAATCAGTGAATCCACTTCCACAACACTCAAGTGAGCAAATGAATCTCCTTTTCTCATTAACTTTTGAGTCCCAGATAGAGATCTTTGTGTTCACTGTGCTTTCCCAGAGACATCTGAAAGAAGCACTAAATCTGGAAGTTGGCCGGGATTTCATAGGCACCACAGTAAGATCTCTATACTGAAAGGGAAAAAACAGTCTGGGAAGTTTTTGAAAAGTTTTTGTTCCTGATTCTATCCCAGAATATATACCACCATCAAGACAGTCTGAAACAATGTTTCTGTTTTTTGGTTTTGTTTTATTGCTTTTGCTCCTCAAGCAAATGATGGTGGCGGGTCTGGCTATTCTCACAACAGTGTGCTTTAAACTCCAAAGAGAGAGTAGAAACTAAAGAAAGCAGGGGAGAAGGTTCATTCAAGACAAAATCATCCTGCCCCAGGTAATCACAAGAGAGGTGAACAGGGCAAAAAATCAAGTGTTCTCTCTTTTGAGCAAATAAAACTGAAAATTACTTCAAAGGTAAAAAGCAGAGCAAATGACCTTTACAGACAGTAGCAGCATTTCAATGTTGCTTTCCACTGCAAGCTGACAATGAGACATTTTAGATTAACAAAATGGTAGCACTTCAGACATGAACCAATTCATCTCAGGTGAATATCAAAGAGTGTGAATAAACAAATGATTTCACCACTGGCACGAAGGCAGATCTAGTAAAGGCATGATGTCAAAATGCCTTTTATGCTTATGACCTAAAACATGTACATAACAAAATACCGTAAAATTATAAATTTAGATCTCATCATTGGAATTCAAAACACAGCCTGGGTCTTTCTTCCCCACTCTCTACCTGCCAGACCATGACTTGCAGCTTCCATTACTTGGAAGTACATAACTACAGTTATTTCTTGACTTACAAGGGATAGCAAAAATTTATCTTCCATATGATGGTTTCAGTACTAAAACTTGAGAATCTGTTACATTGTCATTTCTCTTAATTAATGGTATATGTTCAAGGGGACGAGAGTCATGTTTCTCTATTGAAGCACCCCTTCCATTTGTAAAGCTTTGAGGAAAAAAGATCCAGAACCCAGGCAACCAAGGACAGTTTAAGATAACCAAACACCACTTTTTTTTTTTAAAGCATATAGACAAAATCTGCTGAATTCTCCAAATTTGTATGACAGACAGCAAATGAGTCCTGTGAGGTTTTTTTTTTTTATCATTTTTATGCTCTTTCTGGGTTTTGGCCATGGAATAAAATCGAATCATGCCTTACCTTCACCTTTCCTGCCCGATTCAGATCACCCTGAAAGGAACTGCCAACTTTTTGGCCTTCATCCATCACTATCTGGGAGAACAAACAAACAAACAAACAAAAAACATTGAGGACATATTGATGGTAACATGAAACAAGTGAAAATAAAGGAGCTGATCTTGTAGCCCTTCAGGCACTAAAATTCCCTTTCCGCTTTCTGTTAATTAGCTATGCGTGACAAACCATGACACCTTAGTGACAGCAGATTCACTAAGTCATAGCAGCCATCAGGGAATAGGTTCCAGGAGGTCTGACTTCTACTTCTGTCTTCTAGACTCATCTACAGGACATGAATCCAGGACAGGTAAAAGAAACTCTCATTTACACAGAGAATTATAAAAAGGAACTCTTTTGTCCCAGAGGACAAGCTAAAATATAGACATAATTTCAAGAAAAATCTGTAGATGGCAGATCCTTAAGAGGTTTTTAACAAAAACTGGGGATAATTAAGTTACTATCATAAAAGTTGGCTTTTGAAATCATGAAATGTAATGATGATTTTCAGTCAAGTATCCCAAAGGCACTCCTTCTAAAATTAGGAGTCTGAGTTACTGATCCAATAGCTGTCCGATGTTTCTCATTATGGTCTCTTTCTTTTTTTTTAATTCATGATAATTTTTTTTCTCTGTTTCTGTAAATGTGCTATGGCATTACCTGTTCCTCTTCTGAACACTGTGATGAAGTACGAAGAAAGATGGCTTTATTGCTAAGATGGTGATCATTTGGTTCATTTCTCTGAGTAAATTTTACTGAAGGAAAATTGTTTTCTGAAGAATTGGTTCCAAAGGCTCCTCTTTTGGTCACATTATCTGAAATGATAAATTACATAATATTAGAAAACACCCACCACATCCAGTCTAGTTTATTTTGTGTTTATTGAGAATCTTTCCTCCAAACAAAAAAAAATATTTTTCAAAAAAATCTACAAACTGAATGCTTGAAGCATTAAACACTCTTAACCTATAAAGTTATTTCTAAAAATGCATAAAAAGATAACACTATTTCATTCACTATTCAACAAACATTTGTAAGTTTGTATCCAGCACTGTTCTCAGCCATTGTTAAGAGGTCAATAAAGTATTTGCAAGACTCTTGGACATTACCGATCTCACTTTTTTTCTAAATTTGAGGGTTTTTTAAAAAAAATATGGAGTCAATGTATGGATGATTCTAGCAAATTTGTAAAAGAAAAAGATTAAAATTAGAATATCACTCATAATCCTACAAGACAGAAAAGCTGCAACAAAATTTCTTCAGTGGCTATTTTTCTCATCTTTTATCTATTCACCCATAAACTTCTAAAAGTCAAATGGAATTGTACTGTACATACCATATTATAAGTCAACTTGAGAGCAATATTTTTTTCATACTATTGCATATTCTGCATAATTTTAATGATTATAGAGAATTCCACTGTATATATTTAACATAGCTTATTTAACCAATTCCTATTCTCAACTATTTAAAACTATAAACAATGAATACGTTTGTGCTAAATCTTTGCACATTCATGATTATGTCCTTAGGATAAGGAAAGAGTCTAAGATTCATCCTAAATTAAGAGAAAATTATAACATAATGCCATTAACAGAAATGTGGGGGACAAATTCAGATGAGAGAGAATGAATTAACCTCTGTCCATGCTGCATTTGAGGTGCCAGTGGAAACTGTGAGGAAAATGTCCCAGAGGCAGCTGCAAATGTAGGCTAAAATGTGGGAGAGAGATCACAGCGATAGGTAAAGAGCTGGTAGTCGATTACACTGGGGCAGTGGTTTAAGCCATAAGATTATTTTTAATATTAGCAGCAATATTAAAATAAATAAGAGTTAACACTTACTTGAGGGTCAGACTGTCTTTTATTATGCATCTCATAAATCTCATTTAAGCCTCACAACAACCCTAGAGGTAGGTACTGTTAGTATCCCCATTTTACAGGTGAAGAAACCAAGGCCTACAGAGAGATTAAATAATTTGTTCAAAGTTACACAGCTGGTAAGTAGCAGAGTGGGGATGTGAACCCAGGCCTTCCTAATCCAGCACTCACTGCTGTGCAACTTAGAATAGTACAGTAAATGAAGGGAAAGGGTTCTTAGAGAATAGAAGAATAAAGCAGAAAAAAAAAAAGAAATTTTAAAAAACCCAGAAAGGAGACAAAGAAGAAAAGTTTGCAACAGTACAAGAACCCAGGGAGCATGGCACATACTAAAACTAGAACTCCCTTGCTGCGAATGACAATAGCAAAACACAGGAACCTACTTCAAGGATCACTAGAAGAGTGACTAAGGGATTCAAAAGAGGCCAAGTGGCAGAAATCAAGCTACTGTCAGATTAGGGCACCCTGTTCCATCCCCTTACAATACTCCACCATGGAAAGATTCTGGAGACATGGGTTTATTTGTGAACAACCTTGTCAGGTATCTAACTGAAGGGGTTACAAAACAGCCTAACCCACCAAAGTGGCATGTTTGTTTCTCTTGAGCCACTGGCTGCATGGCTTCAAAATCAGTAAAGATTCTTGTTGTTCTAATGATCTTGGCCTGGTGCAAGGCAGCCAGAATCCTGTGTTTGCTTCTGAATACCTCATCATTGGTAGAATTAAGACTTGTAGGGGGACTTCCCTGGTGGCACAGTGGCTAAGAATCCGCCTGCCAAAGCAGGAAGGACAGGTTCAGAACCTGGTCCGGCATGCGGTCCCATATGCCGCAGAGCAACTAAGCCCGTGCGCCACATCTACTGAGCCTGCACCCTAGAGCCCGCGAGCCACAACTACTGAAGCTCACGCGCCTAGAGCCTGTGCCCCACGACAAGAGAAGCCACCGCAGTGAGAATCCTGCGCGCCGCAACTAGAGACAGCCCCCGCACAGCAACGAAGACCCAACGCAGGCAAATAAATAAACAAATAAATTTATTTAAAAAAAAAAGACTTGTAGGGATATCTATAGGACATTAACACAGAAATACTGTTAGGGAGCAGAGATAAGGTAGCCTAGCCTATATTACAGCATTAGCTCAGTAAGCCAGAGAGGGAAAACACAAATATTTAAATGCACCGCTTTTTCTTTCAAAGGGATTTATTAGCAAACACCACCAGCTCAGGCCAGCTCTCTCTACTGCCTCCTGCACCAGCACCCATGACTCCTAATTAGCTACTACTGGGACGGGTGACCCCTGCCTTGTGCCCCAAGAAATCCCTGCAAACTCTGACATGAAGCACTCGCCTTGGCTGCTGGGGGTGGAGGGGCTGAGGGTCTGAGTAAGGAAGGTGATGGGAGGGTTACCGGAACACTGCTGGAGTAACCAGCACGATGCCGGGCCACAGAAGTGAGGACAAAATGGTCTTAGGACTTACCCTCCCTGACTTCTTCCTCTTTTACAGCCACAATTATGGCTGTAAAATCATCAGTCCTAGGGCAGAGACAAGCAGTGGCAGCAGCGTGGAGCAAGACAGGCATGGAGATGCTTGGAAACAGGAGTGAGGAGGAATGAAAGGGTTCTTCAAACTTCATCAAAGTTAGAGGCAAGCAGACTTCCAGTGGCTCCCTGCCATTCCTCAGTGCCGTGTTCTAATAAGACCCGGAATAGTTTCAGTTCTCCTTGCTTATCCTTTAAGTCTAGCACAACCTAAACCTAGTATTTCCTGAGAAAATACCGTGCACTCAGCACAACACTACTGTAATAATCTATTGATTTACATACTTGAAAACCACAGTGATGTCTGGGAAGAACAGATGTTCCGTAAGGACAAGTTCTGTTTGTTCTTATCATCACTCAGTGTGCTCCTCTGCCATTTCCAATAAAACACCAGGTTATTTGACAAATAACCAGATGAAACTCCTTCAAAATAAAGAGCAAAATGTAATGAAGTCCCAGCTTCTGATGCTGATGTGGAGCGATGGTTGAGGTCTCAGATCTAACACAATTTCTTGTTTACTCTTTCAAAACTTCGTCCTTTCATAAACATAAAGCTTTCATTTTTAAAATATGGAAAGATTCAGAAAAGAACCTGTTCCCTCTCTGACTGAACCTACAGTTTAAGACTCCTTTCTAAACCTTGAAAGCAGTTTCACAAGAGTAAGTACTATTTCACTCCAAAGGCCCCGAAGTGCTTCTTACAAATGCTTTTATCATTTTTTTAAAAAACAGCAAAAAAAAAAAAAATCTCTTGGCAGCAGAAGATAGGAAAGAAGTTCTTTTTCAATATGATAATGACAAAATGGCAGATGTTGGCACAGCCCAGAATCCGAAGTGGGCTAAAGCCTGATTAGAGTGCCAGATGCTGCTTCCCAGAGTTATCCTGGTGGCCATCCAAACATGCCACCTAAGTGTGCGCTTCATCTTATTCTGTTTCTGCTTTTCATCAGAGTCCTTTTCTACCTTTTCATCTTATCCCTAATGTTCCTTGCTTTGAAATAAGTGCCAGACGTAATACACTTTGGAAATCTAACAGCAGTATTTCAGAGAACAAGTCGGTTACTGAGACCTGAAAGAGTG